AAGTCACTTGTGGAATCTCTTCCTGCATTTTGGATAAATGGGGAAGAAGCCCTTCTTCTATTTATTCTCCCATTCTGACGGCTTCTGCTTTTCAGGACACACAAACAAGGGGTTAGTGGTAGGTACTTCCTGTGTTCCAAACACTACTTCCGATTCAGACTCTACCTTCTCCACCTCCTTACCTTCCTCGCCACCCCCAGCCCTGGAAGCTGATGGCACCGCCTGGTGGCTCACACTGGCAGTTCTGGTCTCCTGCCCTTCCATGCCCACGCACGCTAATTTTGCTGTCACCCCCACCTGTTGCCATGATCTTGCACTCTCTTCTTCATATCCTATCTCAGGCAGGAATTCAACCTCACATCTCAGGGTTGCAGGTCCTGGATCAAGAGGCAGGTGATGCAGCATGGCCTCTGGCACCCCCTGGCCAGGGGCTGGTCCCCACTCTACCCCGAGCGCGTGCTGTGCCTTCGGATGCACACCTCTGTGTCTCCAGTTCCTGCTTTGAAAAATGGAGACAGTACCGTGCCTCTCTCCCAGGGCTGCTGTCCAGTCACTCCGTCCTTCACTCATTCATTCCTGCGTTCCGTGTTTATAGGGAGCCTTCCGTGGAGCAGACACTCGGGATACATCCGTAAGCAAAACACAGTCCTCTCCCTCCAGGGCCGATCTGGCACAAGCGAGTGCCACCGGCCCCTCGGGAAACCCAGCTATTGCTCACGACCAGCTCACTGCTCCCAGCGACACCGTTGTTTCTGTACAACACGTCCACTTGGTTCCATCTCCTGGGCCAGACTTCACAGTCTCCGCCATTTTCTCTCGAAAATCCCTCCTTGTCTCTGTCTCATCAGAAGGACCCTGATGGTGGCTCCATCTGAGAACAGGACAGCCGCACATAATACATATTCTGTTACAAACGTCTAAAATTTTCCAGTTAAAATGCCCTGAACACTCCCCGGAACGCTAAAAAGGGGGGAGCATTTTAACTGTTTTCCAGTTAAACCCCCTCTCCGTAATTTCTCCCAGAATCCTGTCTCTTCATCATTCTTGGGTTCAACTATTCCTAGATTCCGGATTGGTATTTCCTTAACGTACATACTGGTGCAGTGGTCCTCGTGGCAGATGCAGCCTCTCTTGACACTTCAGACTGAATGAGCTTTCGTTGGCTGCCCGAGGAGGTGTGCTTATCGTACTTAGAGTAAGTCTGTGGGGACATGCCTTCTGAATTCAAAACCAGCAAGCAGGGGCCGCTTGTCCAGCTGTTGGAACACCTCAATTCTTCGTGAGGCAAACCGAACCAGGAGAACTCCATCTGTGGACTCTCACTCGCTCTGCGGAACTGAATGCGCATGCATATGCATGCACGTGCATGCCTTCACACACATGCTCACCCCACATGCATGCACACGCATACACAGTCTCACACGTGCATGCACACACACCCATACATGGATACACACACCCCTGCACATGCATGCACACCTGCATACACACACTCCTGAACCCGCATACACATGCACACACCCCCGCACGTGCATGCACACACCCCTGCACATGCATGCACACCTGCATACACACACTCCTGAACCCGCATACACGTGCACGCATCCCCCCACACCTGCATGCACACACCCCTGCACATGCATGCACACCTGCATACACACACTCCTGGACCCGCATACACGTGCACGCACCCCCCCACACCTGCATGCACACCCCCACACGTGCATGCACACCCTGAAGCCGCACCACGTCAGGAGGTGGTCCGTGGGTCTCAGACCTCCTTCTGTGCCCTCTGTGGTTCGCACGTGGTAAGGGGAGGCTATCACTTGGACTCCACCCTTGTCCCCTGAGCAAAGTGTGTGATTCTCACTTAGCGTGTTTCCTGGCCTTCTGAGACATTTCACTTCTCTTTTTCTCTTTATCTTCCAAATGTCCGATCTGTTACAAACTCTCCATTTAAATTGGTGTTGGGTTTTACAGACCTTCGCTAGTCCTGCGTGTCATAGCGGTAGGTGCCCTTACGGGGCAGCATGGGGCTCACCCGTCACCTCTCATACCAGCGCTAGCAGAATCCAGAGCTCCGAGGGCCATCTGCCTGCCCAGGGTCCCCAGCCAGGCAGTGGTGGGGGTGATGGGGTGGTCACGCCCCCTCCGTCTGACCCGAGTCCAAGCCTGCACCACCGTGAGGGCAGGGCCGTGCTCACACCACCGTGCGGTTCATCCGGAAGCTGAGGTGGCCTTCCAGGGAGGCAGTCCATTCTGACAAGCACAGTGAGTTACCCAGGTGCTGTTTTGTGTTTTTCCCTCCTTGGAGTGCGGGGCTGGGGACATGGCTGAAGGGCCTCTGCCCTGCCAGGCTTGCACTTGCCCCACCTTCGCTGAGGCCCCCTGCTGTGGGTAAAGACCCAGAGGGCCTGGTGGTGGGCTTAGGGAAGGCTGCCTGTGTCCGTTTGCATTAACAAATTCACCCAGCAGAGGCTGCTTGCAAAGCAAAGTGTGACCCTTTGTCTCAGACCCCTGAGCCAAGCTGCTTGAAGGCCAGAGGCCCCCTGCTGTGCAGGAGCCCCCCCAGCCTCAGTCGCCTGGAGATTAAACCTGGCGCCTATGATTCTTTCCTCTCAAAAGAGCTATTTCCCCAGCATTCTACCTGCACAGTCTTTAGAATCGGACCAGTATGTGTCAGAGCCTGTGTTGTTAATTTGAAAACTGGGGATACCGATCCCCTCCTTCTTGGATGAAGCAGACCAATATGCCAGTCTCTCTGAAAGCACCTTTAAAACAGCAGGCAGCAGCTCAGTCTCTGTCCCCATCTGGTCATTTACCATTACCATCATAGAGCAGCATCTTCTGTCAAAAAAAGTCACAGTAATAAAAGCATCCTTTTTTAATCAAGAACAGGAATGTGTTTTTTCAAACCTTTCTATTCTGGAAATGCTCAGATATGCACAGAAGTGGAGAGAAGAGTATACTGGACCCCATGTGTTCCTCTGTCTCCCAGGTCCCTTGTAAGTAGTATCTTCTGCTGTATTTGTATGAGGTCCCTCCAGTATGGAAGGGACCTCTGCTCTTTTTGGCTCTATTGTATTTTGTTTTCCCCACACAGTAAAGAGAGTTTAGCCACCAATGTTTAAAAATTGGTAGATTTCTCGTAAATGTATAGGTCCCAGTCTTGTCTAGAAGCATCAGAAGGCAGGGAGCATGAGGCCCTCATTCCTAGGGGTGGGAGGGAGTAGGCGGGGCCAGGCAGCGGCCCTGCTCACCTCCCCACACCATCTGCCTGACCCTACAGGCGTTTGGTTCTGCAAGCCTTATCCTAAACATGCTTCCCCATGAGCCTGGCTTTCATGAGTGGGATGACATCTGTTTTTCTGCCTCTCTCTGGATTTTTAGAAAGCATTCTGTATCCTAGGGTGAATGTACATAAGTTTGAAGTTCTTTCTTTCTTTCTTTCTTTCTTTCTTTCTTTCTTTTTTTCTTTCTTTCACTCATTCATTCATTTATTTATTTATCTTTAGAGAGCAAGAAGAGCGTGGGGTGCGGGGGGCAGAGTGGGAAGGAGAGAGAGAATCTCTAGCAGACTCCCCACTGAGCACAGAGCCTGATGCGGGGCACAGTCTCACAACCCTGAGATCATAACCTGAGCCCAAATCAAGAGTCGGACGCTTAACTGACTGAGCTACCCAGGTGCCCTCTAAGACTTTTGATAGCTGTTTGATAGATATCACTTCCTGCTTTTACAGGTCAAAAATGGTTGAATATTGACAATCTCATGTAGTTTGGTCTAATAAAAGACATGGTTTAAGTGTTTAAATATGAAATAAGTAGAATGTGTTGTTCTGGGGGGGGGCAAGACTTGGGGGTGGGGACACTAGCAGGTATGTAGTTGTGATCCCGTGCAATTAAGGGTACAGTTGAGCAAAAGCCAATATCTGCAGCCTGTGGTTTTAAAATCACCTTGGCCTTCTGTGAGCCTGCTTTTCTTGTTTGTTTGTTTGTTTGTTTGATATAATGGCTTTATTGTGATGATTCACATACCATACAACCCAACCATTACAAGTCTTTGATTCTTAGTACATTCCCAGTTACACAACCATCACCACAGTCAATGTTAGAACATTTTCCTCCCCCCAAAGAGAAGCTCCATACCCATTAGCACTCACACCCCGTTTAACCCCGGTCCCCCAGCCCTAGCAACTGTTAATCTGCTTTCTGCCTCTACGGATCTGCCTGTTCTGGATCTGCCTGTTCTGGACATTTCTTATAAAGGGAATCCTACAATCTCTGGTCTTTGGGGTCTGGCTTCTTCCACTGAGCATTGTGTTTTCAGGGTTCGTGTGTGTTGGTGCTTTGCTCATTTTTGTTGTTGGATAATATTCCACCATATGGATGGGCCACATTTTCTTCCTCCATTCATCAGTTGATGAGCATGTGGGTCGTGTCCCCTTTTTGACTATTGTGAGTAACGCTGTTATGAAATCCGTATACAAGTTTTTGTGTGACCATGAGTTTTCAGTTGCCATGGGTGCATACCTAGGAGAAGAATCACCAGGCGTATGGTAACTCTCTGTTTAGCCTTTTGAGAAACTCCCGACTGTTTCCAAAGCCGCCACACCGTTTCCATCCCCACCAGTGGTGCGTGAGGGTTCTGGTTTCTCCGTGTTCTCACTGACACTTGCAATCTGACTTTGGATGTGGCCATGCCAGTGGATTTTGTAACACAACCTTCCTGGGGGCATAAGGTACCTGGAGAGGGTAGGAAAAGGATTGTCATTTTATTAGCAGCCTAGACCATCATCCGCTGTGGTCGTTTTCGGAAACTCCTAAGGAAGCCAGGTTCTCGGCATGAGCTTCAGCAATGCCCTGATCATGCACCCCGTACCCTGTGCTGGTTGTGGTCCCCACTGGCGGGTAGTGGGAGGGCTCTGTCTCTTACGACTGGTTTCCAGGGTGGGAAGTAGCCTCGCCATGTCTGACCTGCCACGTGCCCCTTCTCTGTGCAGGCGTCACCATGAAGCTCATGGACGAGGTGGCTGGCATTGTGGCTGCGCGTCACTGCAAGACCAACATAGTCACTGCCTCCGTGGACGCCATTAACTTCCATGACAAGATCAGAAAAGGTAATGGGACTCCGCTGACAGAGAGAAGGCGGGTGGCCGTTGGCTCTCTGGCTCCCTTTGCCAGTTTGCTTGTGGTTCACACCCAGTGTCGCCCGCGCCCTGCTGTCTGCCTGTTTGCCAAGAGAAACGGGAAGCCAGTCTTGCGCTTTGTTCTTGTTGATGCATCTGTGAGGCTAGGATTTGTTGGTTTGATTTTTCATCTGGTAAGACCCGTAATTCAGATGTGTTTGGGGCCTTTAGGCTACTGAGGAGCACCGTAAACCCCTCTTAAAATGCCCCATGAACAGACACAGCTCCAGCGACTGGTGCCTCCAGATTTTACACGTTTCCTCTGGGGGAGGAATAGATAATCTATGATGTAAGTAGTGGCAGGATCTGTGCAGAGAAGCCCATGGCCCACAGTCCTCGGCCAGCCTGCCTGCACCATCCATGCAGTGCTGGGGTTTGGTACTTCCCCTGTCCCAGAGACTCGGCAGCCACCCAGGAGAGCAGGCCAGCTCCTCACGCCCATCCCATGTGAGTGCTGAGTCCCGACACATGGTGATTTCTGCGTGTGTTGTGTCTTCTGCGGTGGGGTTCTGGGCCCCAGAAGAGTAGTGCTTCGCCGCGGGGTCGGGTGGGTCGGGGCTGCGGGGTCGGGTGGGTCACGGCTGCAGGAGCCTGGTATAGATTCGAGAGCAGCCTCGCTGGGAAAGCTGTCAGGTCGGACCCGTCCCCGGCTGGGAGGGGTGCGACATAGACGCCTCCGAGCACTGCTCTGTCCTGAGCCCCCCAAGGCCGTCCTGAGCCTTGGAGGCCGCGGGGCCAGTGCCGCCAGCAAGCTCTCCCCTGCAGAACACACCGGTGGTGAATGCCCAGGTGCGCGGCCAGAAGGGTCCAGGCGTTGGAAGGGTAGGGGGCTGGCTGCCTGCCCGCCCTGGGTCATCGAGAGCAAGTCCAGCATACCCTGGTAGGGTCTGGGTGCTTTTAGGGTAAGGAAATGGTCTGCGGCACCACTCTCTCTGCTTTGCGAAGTCCCTTTGTAACTGAGGGCGTGAGGTGAGTGACCGTCCCCTCCCGACACGTGGTGATCTCTGCGTGTGTTGTGTTGCGTCACTGTGGGAGTTGTGCCACAGACATGGACATCAGCGTCATTTTAGAATTTGTCCACAAGGGGGTCTTGTCATCTTGGGGTTGCCCCCATGGGCCTCGGGTGCATATTATGTGCAGCGGTGGCACGAAAGTTTCGGAAAGGCAGAATCCTGCGCCAGGATTCTCTCTATTTCTAGAACTCCTCCCTGGACAAATCCCTGCGATCAGAACTTCATTGTTAAGCACAGCTTCGAAATCTACAGTGGAAAACGCACTTAGATTCCATGACCTTGCTCTGCTCTGTGTCTCCCAAGTGCCCTCTGAGAAGCGCCACCTAGGGAAAGAGACTTTGTGGAGAGCCGGCTGGTTTGCTCAGTGTCATCCGGCTCAGTGGATGTGCTGTGCAGCTCGGGCAGGGCCGCGAACTCTCCTTGGCACCCAGGGCCCTTTCTGGGACCCATTTAGCAACGTGGAAGCCATTGGGGCAACCTGTGTGTGGAGCTGCCCTTGACGGGCGCTTCCAGTTTCTAAGACGTTCCTCTTATTCCAAAACACAGAGAAAAGGTTCTTCATCTTCAGAAGCCATAGTTCTGGCCGGACGTTCTACTCTGGGTGGGTTTCCTCCAGCAGGCAGAGTGAGGGGTGGGCTGCGAGGCCTACCTGGCTGCACCCTTGGGTGCTGAGCCTACACAGCCCCGGCCTGGAGCCCGCACCGCCCAGGGCCCCCGTGTCAGCAGCCCCTGGCGGGCAGAGAGAGGCTTTCTGCTTTCTCGGATCACTTCCTTGTTTTGTGCATAAAGGGATGTGGGCCACACTCGCAGCTAAGGAGTCTGGCCTTTCTGTGCCAGCGTCCCCCAGGCGCTGTTAGACGCTGTCACACCTTATTTGTTGTTTTCCAGAGGAATGTCCCTGTGTGAGGTAGTGGGCTCCCCCGGGCCGTGGCTCTGTTGGAGAGCCGGCACCAGTGTCCCGGGTCAGGTCTCAGGCTGGCAGCATGCCGGCCACACCTGCCTCAGTCACAGAATGGGCCCATCTTGTCCTCAGTTCCGGAGGCAGAGGTCCCTGCAGCATGGCTCCTTTCCTCCCCCATTCTTTGCTCCTTTCTGGGGACATGCAGTGTGAGGCTGGGGGGACCCTGCCTGCTGTGGATTCTTGAGCGCAGGCAGACCTGCTGGGGTCCCGTTAAACCCCAACCTGTGGGTTCTAGTGCGGCCTCCACACTCCTGCCATCCCTGATGATGCTGCCCGCCCGGAGGCTGGGTGGGACCCCTGCACACTGTGCCACCGTGGGGCAGGGGCAGAGTTGAGTGCTCTGGAGAGTGGTGTTTGTGTCCCAGGGCTGCCCCACAAGGGACCACAGACTGGGGGCCTCAAACAGCGGACCTTTGCTCTCTCACAGGCTGGAGGCCCCAAGTCCCAAATCCAGGTGTGGGCAGGGCCACTCCAGAGGCGCCAGGGGAGCGCCCTTCCTGCCTCTTGCAGCCTCTGGGGGCATTTGCTGGCTCATGGCCACATCACTCCAACCTCCCTCCACCTTCACGTGGCCTCTCCCTTCTCTTCTTCTGCCTCTTATAAGGACACTTGTCACAGGATTTAGGGCCCACCCAGATAATCCAGGAGGATTTCATCCTGAGAGCCTTAAGTCAGTGGCATCTGCAAAGACCCTTATTTCCAGTAAGGTCACATTTGGAGGTTCTAAATGGACTTACGTTGGGGTGGAGGGCACTGTTCAGCCCACTACACATGCTTTCTCTCCTTACAGCTTGATTCTAGTAGACACTAGCTTCACTTTCTCTTTTGCAAAATTGTGAGGTGGGTAAAATCTCTTCTGTGCACCAAGTTGCCCCTTTGCCCACATGGATGTGAATGTGAGTCCTCCCTTATGAGGGTCAGCGGTAAAGTCAGCACCCAGGCCAGAGAAGGAGTGCCTCTGAGGGGCACAGAGGGGAGGGCCCGCGGTTTTGAGGACAGTCATACACCCAGGGCTGGGGCACCTGCCTCCTGAGAGCAGCCCCACTAGAGCAGGATTGAGAGGCCCCATGCTTCTCCGGCGGGGGGCGGGGGGGCACCGATGAAGGAGCCGTGGCTTTCCTCTGCGCAGCAGGAGACAGGGTCAGCCCCGGCATGCCGAGGGCAGCTCCGAGCTCTGTGCTGCTCATCTGTGAAAGGGAATCAGCTCAGGGACTGTTTTCAGGAACATTTTCATGGGAAAGGCACGTGCCGGCGGCTGAGCCGCGGGGCCCCCTGGGGCCGTGGTCACAGGGCAGCAGCTGCCCACAGCCAGCGTCCGGCCTCCTCAGACGCACTGCCCCGGAGGGTGCAACCCTAAGAGGCCACCACTCCTCCCCGAGGGGTGCCCCCCACCCTCTGACGCGGTGGGGAAAAGCCCAGAAATGTAGACCCATCGCCAGCCACACGTGCCCCCTTCCTGTGAGCTCGCTGCGGCCACTCTAATCAGTTACCGCACAACCCGGGCCTTAAAGGTCCCGGGCCCCCTCCCTCATGCTTCTGCAGGCCGGGTCCACGGGGCTGCATTCCTGACGTGGGGCCTGACGGGCTGGTGCAGCAGAGGTGGCCAGCACCGCGGGGTAGGGTGGGTTGATCCAGGACCCCTGCATCGCTCAGGGCAAGCTGGTGACACTGGAAGACCTGAACGCTTGCCCCGTTGCTGATTGTTTCCCTCTAAGCTGAGATGTGAAAATGCCAGGGCAGCTGTCGAGGGCAGTAGAGGTGGCACGTGGTTCCTGTAGCTCTCAGGGTTCGGGAAACCCTGGCAGGAACCCCTAAAGCTGGAGCTGTTGGTGGAGAAGCCGTCTCCCCAGACTGTTGGGGTGGGAAGTGAGGAACCTTCTGGAAAATGCTTTGGGCTGTGTTATGTAAGACACACCGAAGTTACTTCACTACCTCCCTGCTTTTCTGAGGATCGCTCGCTGCCGCTGCTCTTTTTGGAACTTCAACACTGAGCTGTTCTTAACGTTTGAAGTCCTTGGCAGCCCCTCAGCTGTGGTAAGAGCGACTTTTTATTATTCTGTTTGCCCAATCCCGGCAAGCCGTGCCGTCTGCCCTGGGAGGGACGCTCCGCTGCTGGGGGTCAGGCGGGCCCCAGAAAGAGAAGGGAGCTGCGCTTCCCGAGTGTGCATTAGGCCCCGCTCGAGGGCCATCCGGTTTATCTGCCCCGTGCGGCAGGAAGCCTACTCATCCCCACTTCTCCGGTCTGGAGCCCGCCTGGGCTGCAGGGCCGCACAGCCGGCTCCGGGGCCAGACCTCTGAGCCCCTCGCTCGGGCGCCCCCTCACTGCCAGGCTTGATCAACACGGGCATCCGCTGCCGCCGGGACCCGGGCATCACCGTGGCGGGTGACGAGCCTGTACCCTCACTTCAAATGCAGCGCCATTCACCCTTGACCCTTTCGCAGCTGCCAGAGTGGCGGCTGGCCCGCGCAGTCCTGTGAAACCCTCTTCTGGCTTTCTCAAGCCTCTCAAAAACATGGCTACGGCTCCTCGCAGTTGGGGGAGTCCAGCCGCGAGGAAGGCACCACTCTGTCCGTGTCTCTGGCATCGGCCTTGGCCCGGGGCCCTTTTCCCACTAACGTTAGTCAGTCCCGCCTCCAGCTGCGCCCTCAGTCTCATCAGCTTTGCCTGGGGGGGGCCGCCGACCTGTGCCGTCCCCCACACCAGTTGCTGGCCACCCCTGGCTATCTGCATCATAATTAAAGGTAAACAAAATGGCAAATGCTGCTCCTCTGTGGCACGCGCCTCGTTTCAAGTGCTCAGTGGCCACACGTGGCTGGCGGCTGTGTATCAGACGGCACAGAGAGAGGACCTTCCCAGCATCACAGAAAGTCTGCTGGGCAGCGCTGGTCTCTGGACTGTCTGGACTCTGTCCCCAGCGTCTGATGCTCTTGGACGCATTTCCATAGACCCCTAGAGG